CTAAACATTTTAAGAATCCATTTTTCTGCAAAGTCGAGGATTTCACGAAGGCACTCTCTAAATTTCCTCTTCCCATCAATATATCCACTAAGTGAAAGAGAAAAGTGGTCTTGAAAACAAGTGTTAGGAAAGCCGACGGAAAAGAAAAAGTACGGAATTCACGAAATAATCTACAGTGTATTTCTTTAATGTCTCGCCCCCTTTTATTTTTTGAACGGGGCAACTCAAAAAATTGAAATTCTGGATAATGAAATTAATAAATAAAAATTTAAGCGATTTTTTTTAAACGGCAATGTTCACAGACAAAATTACCGTTATTGGAGTGACACCAATCCTCACGTTTTCCGGGAAACACATACCCAATATCCAGAAAAAATCAACGTTTGGGCAGGAATATTGGGAAACCATTCTGTAGGACCTCTATTTATTGATCAAAATTCAACAGTGGAACTGTATTTGAATACGCTGGAAACTACTGTTGAAGCGAATCCTAATGAATTCGATATGGATATAGTATTCCAACAAGATGGAGCACCACCACATTACTCCAGACAAGTAAGAAACTATTTGGATACTATTTTTTCGTCGAGGTCCTACAGAATGACCAGCCCGCTCGCCAGATTTGGCACCTTTGGACTTTTTTTAAGGAGTTATTTGAAGCAAAAGGTGTACGAAACTGAACATGCTTCAATATTGGATATACGGCAGAGAATAATAAATATTTGTAGAGATATTGAAGTTACTGTGTTCGAAAATGTTCAGCGTGAAATATCGGATAGGCTGTTCATATGTCAAGAAGTTCAAGGGAATCATTTCGAGCGTCTTCTGAACTGCCCTCAAGCTTATTACCTCATATTATGTAGTTACATGTCAATGTATTCTGGAAATTATTAAAAGTTTCGCTATTTTGTAGTAGTTGAAGATATTGACATTATATTCTACGGTTATGAAGTATTCGTCAGGAGCTTAAAAACTATGTGTCACAAGACCCCCCTTTCTATTTATATTTTTTCCCCAGATGGCGCCCAGTCGCCATTTTGAAAGTTTCATCTGTCAATTTTACTTCAAAATAAAGTATTGATGCATCAATTTCATTATCCCAAATTTCAATTGTTTGAGTTGACCCATTCAAAAAATAAAAGGGGGGCATTAAAGAAATGCACTGTATAACGATTGAAATGAAAAAATATGTTGGTCAAACTAAGCGGAATATAACAACACGCTACAAGGAAAAGTTCCACATATTCGATTTCACACACCAGAGAAGTACAGGGTTGTTCAACATGTCAGTACATGCAACAAATTTTTAGACGCCTTTGAGAGTTCAGAAATCGTTGAATGGGATCAATGAACGGTGATAAAGGTCCCATTCCTAACAGCACATGTTTGCGATCTCAAGTTTCTACAGGTATTCGAAAATTGAAACCTTAGAATAAGTAAAACTTGACCGCAAGAGGCACAAACTTCAGAAAACAGAAGATAGGCCAGCCGCACATTTCTAATTCGAGATACAACTAAAAAACGCAAACCTTAGGCACAAAGAATTACTGGTCATCATTACTACGTCGATAGGTAGACAGATAAATACGAGTAATGTATTGATAACAAGTTAACCCAGACCACTTCCGTGTATAAATAAAATATTGCGTTATCATAGCAACAAAGAATAATTAGAAGTGTCAGCGTAGTTTCACGCCAAAAACTATTAGAAATCCTGATGTTTAACCAATTCGCATTTATTTTATCAAAATGAGATTGACGCCACTTTGTACAAGGATGGTTTCCAAATGTAAACACTGGTGTGCGCTTTGCAGCTCTGTGAATGGAGTACGTTGGAACTCCGTATTTTCTTAAGAATCAAATCAAATCAAAAATCTGTATTTCCTATTAACGTCACAATACTAAAAAAATCTATTTACACTATGAACCATACAAAATCATTCTCCGACATGCAGGAATCAGGGGGGAGGAAAAGTAATAGGTGTGAGAAGGATGGCAGGAGGATGATTGCACTGTTAAGCACAGAAAGACAAGAGAATGAACGCCACCACACAATCCCTCGGGGAATGTTCCTATTTACCCTGATTAAAAGATTCCTTTATCCCGTGAAGAACTCGGATCAATTGGCAGGTCGAATTTCGTCCTAGTCGGAAACCGAATTGCTCCTCCGGGACAAGTTTCATCTTCTCCTCGAGGCGAAGAAGTCTACTTAGTGAGACTTAGTGACCGTACTGAGGAGCGAGATCGAGCGATAGCTGTCAATCAGGGATATGGGTATAACTACGGCCAGTTTCATTTGATCTGGTAGGGTACCGGATACTAGGCAATCATTAAAAATGTGCCATAGAACTGGTAATAAGGACGAGATACATTTTTTTTTGAATTTTTGATGGTACATTGTCTATACCACTGCTCATTTTATTGAGAGACATTTGTGTTGTTAATGTAATCATTTTTCTAACTTGAGTTTTATCAATTGTTGTAATTGAAAGCTTCAATAAATCTATCTATCAATACTGGAAAGTGAATCGAAATTACGGAAAAAATGTAAGAAACTAAAGAATTCGTTCAAAAATGTTTCTCATGCGTTAGCTATAACAAATAATGTTGATATTTTTAAACCTCTAGTTTTGCATTAGGTAAGAACACTGAATCAGCTCATAATAACGCTGAACAGTTTGTTTATGTATCTATGCAATGTTGAGTTGTTGAATAGGTGGCCTTGAGAACGGTAATTTAATTAAATAACGCACGGCAAAGGTATTATTGCGGTCGCTTCTAGAATCTTAACTAAAATAGTAGCAATAAATTATTTTTCAAATAGGATTATTACAGGCACATGCATGTTTGGTATACAGGAAATGAAAACTGTGTGTCTCATTGATTCGACGAGCAGTCTCCGGAAATTGAATAATTCAATATCCGATAGATGAAATTGGTTATAATAATGATTATTTGATACCTAAACAACATCTCCGAAACAATGTTACTAAGAATAACGTTTGTTTTTTAGCACGTTATTTGGACAAATAGTTCTTGATTAAATACAAAATTGAAATAATTCAACATTGGTATTTACCAACCGCCGAACCCAACCCTGGACTAACTTATTTGTCCTTCATATAAAGTTCGGAAAAAATATTTCATATTTTTTCCGAACTTTATCTTCAACAATGAATGAAAGATGAGAACCGGGGATTGCTGACATCAATTTTTTTTTAAATTCTATCTCTTACAGTGAATTATTTAATTTGTTCTGATGTTTTTCCAGACAACAACCTCGTAACCATTGTAACCGGAAAACATCTTTGAGGATCATTATTTTACTTGAGAATTATAGCTAGATAAACAGTTTTCCTTTATCTAGCTATAACATTTCAATTTGCCTTTAACAACTTCTCAGCTTTCCTATACAAACATTTGAAATGTTGTAACCACAAATTCTTTTTGTGACCAGCTTTCTGGTTGAATAAAATGCATAGTAATGTACGAAGACCTATTATTCGTCTTGAGTCCAAGTAGTCAGAGTCGAACAAAGTGTGTTTCAACGATTACTACTGCTTCTACGAAAAATACGAACCACCAACTAGTGATGTTCCTGAGTTAAAATTGATTTTACTAGAAATGAACTCTTTTTCGTACCAGATTCAGATAGAAGGTACTAGATAACTAAATTTTTTAGATTGTACTTTTGCGACATGGAAAACAAAAATACATTCTTCAACAAAAACATACATTCTTATGCAAACAAAAAATAAATACTTGAACAAGAATTCAAAAAATCAGTTCTGTGCATGAAAAATTAAATTTTTTGCTGATAGTTATGCGGTTATGTTAGATATGCGGGATGACATCTTCATACAGAACCTCAATATTTTTTATTTTAGAGTGCTCTTCAGCAAGTTATTGTTGAGTTCTAAGTTGTAACATAAATTCGAATAATTCTATTTCAGTGATTCTTCAGTTTGTGATAAAGATGATACTGTTTATTTCTTGTATTGATTTTTATCGAATTCAAATGGGAGAAAATTCTCTCATCAGCTGCTGAGGAGCGCGGCAGAGCTAATACCTGTTTTACCACAGATTACAGAATATTGATTCATCAAGGGAATTTTTTTCGGCTGACAATGTATTCCAAAATTCATCTACATCTAATGTGTAATATTTCTTTCTGACCTCACTAGCCAAACGCTATTTTATATTCAATTCTTCTGAATCAACATATAAGCTATTAAAAAGAACTTTTGCTTTTGCTATGGATCAAACAAGGATGCAAACTACCATTATCAGAATCAAGTCATTTGTCAATACTAGCAATAGTTCTAGCTTTGTTTGTATACCTACAGGCTATCCCTATATACAGAGGTTCCAGGCTAGCGTCAAAATCGATTCTTCTTCTTATATAATTGTAATTTGCCATTTTCGTCATGGTAGATGTAGCCTGGGAATTCTGGGTCTCCTGACTGGAACCACAAATGTTCGGTTGGCTTCTGTTGTTGGCTCCGTGCGTACCTATGTGTTGTTTAGTATTTTAGGCAAATAAGTATTGCCCATCTTTCCACTTGGCTGCACCGCGCTGATGAGGCCATTAGTCAGAAACACGTGTCCGCGGTTTGCCCCCCTTTTTGCAGTGTGTGTGTGTGTACATCGGAGATAGAGCTTGTCAAATCTAGGAAGAGCCTTGAGGAATCTTTCTCTCTCTCTTCTCCCTCTCTCACTGTCTTCTAACAAACACATATCTAGTGGGCGGGGCCATAACGGAAAACAGAAAGCTCTTCCTACATTTGACAAGGTGTACGTCACTTGCGATATGCCGTGCAGTCGCGCGACTGTGGAAATTTTTTATGGCCTCCCTTAAGATTACAGTATTTTGTTTCTGCGTATCGCACAGTGTGAACGATGAGAATCCCTAAATAGAATAATGGAAATAAATCATTGTTAAAATCATATGTTTTCGATCATTTGGTACAGATAGAACAATAATCATTGTTTCTTTACAGCCGCAAAGCTCAATGATGACGTGGAAATACTCCCTCCTAAACCCAATATCTATGGAGATCAACCAATTATCGACACCGGTGTCATCGGAGAAGGCTCATTCTATTCCAATCCATTCGGAGGGTTTTTGGATGGTATAGAAGGTCAGCTCAGTTTTATAATTTCAAAAATATGTGCTATAGATGACATTTCAGTCATTATCAAATATCGAGGTACTTGATATACCTCTTTGCAAATTTGGTTTCTGTTGAGAGTTTTATCGAATTTGAAAAAGTTATTTTGTAGGTATGATGGCAAGACTTAGACAACAAATGGAAGCCATTTTTAGACGCTTTCCCGGAATTCGTGCTGGTAATTCTTCGGACGAAGCTTTCGATTTCCCATCCTTTGAAGAAGGCCTGCCTGTATTGCCTAATTTCCCATCGCTGAATCCAATTGATTTAGGAAAAGGAAACACCACTTCAATTACCAAGGTAACAAGAATTAAATCGGTACTTGGCGTTAATATATGTAAGTTGTCACTTACACTTTTGACATAAAACAGAACTACTACTGTTACGTTATCCGTAAAAGGTACCTATTTATAGTCGCTTGCCCACCTACTAATAGCTCATATCGAGATCCTAAACAACCACCCGATAGCTGCTGCCACTAACAGAAAAATTAGAAATCTTGTTGGTCCTTGAATAGGGTATTTTAATCATTTTCAGTTGGAAATTGACAATGATACTCGAACTGTGAATTTAACTTAGGGATTTTCGTAAAACGATATAAGCGGTTGTAATTCACATGTTCACAGAAACGGATTCGTAATAGTGCTGATTTGGAAGGTTAAGAATTCCGTTTTCTTATCTCTTCGGAGGATATTTATATCATTTTTAGGTTGGACGATAGCAAGTGAAAATCGAGCGTTCAGCCTGCGGCTTGAACCACTGACTCACATATCGGCCGATTGACTGAGAGAACAAAGCACCCACGTTGAAACGCCCGGTTACCGACCGACCATTCCAGTATACTTTTTAATCACCTATCTTCTTCATCTTTCCTGAAATTAATAGATATTGAAAAAGTGTATATAAATATATACTGAGTGTGATATCGCAATCAGTTCACGTTCAGATTCTTGGTGAATATATTTTGACACGTCCAAGTTTATATCTAGGAAACTACGTTATGGCAGTAATGTCTTTTTGACTTGATCCCCCTATACTCCAGAGCCACCACTTATTTTTCAAATTGGAGAAAGGGTCGATACTTGATTGAAAATGACTTCCATCCTTTATATGATATTTTCGTTTTACATTTTCATGGATATATTCTCGGGAAATAAAAATGAACGTTGTTAGGCAATCAAACTTAGTTCTGCTTTTGTTTTTCATTCCCTACAATATCTACATGACTTCAGTTTTGTGTTGCAGTTTCCACGTTAAACAAACAAAAAAGTACGTATTGCTTCTTGCAAGCGGCGAATAACTTCAATTGACGGTAAGACCATGTGGCAAGAGCTCCTGGTGCACTACGCCATGCTAATCGAAGAAAATAGTAAGCACAACCTTGACATTTGATTGAACTTGACGTGCTTTTTGGTCTTGGCTCTCCTGGGCCCTCACATTGGAACGATTGGACTTTGCTTTCAATATATCATAACCATTTACCCATGATTCGACACCAGTTACGAACCCTTTTGAGCAAATGTGGATCGCCGTTGACTTTATTCAACTGTTTTTTGGTCAAATTCAGCAATTTTGGAACGAACTTAGTTACGTCACGTTTCATGCCTAAAATTTCTGACAAAATTGCTTGGCATGAGCCAACCGATATGCCGACATCCTCAGCAACTTCTCTTATAGTGATTTGACGATTCTCCATAACAATTTACTTCACTTTCTCTATATTTTCATCGGTTGTTGATGTACTGGGGCGTCCAGGGCGAGCGTCATCATTCACATCTTGCTTGTACTTCTTGTACCTTCTGACTCAGAGTACTATCCAGAGTAAATTCCATTTTTGACACCGAATTTGGTGTAAATTCTTTGATCCATTTTTTCAATAGCAGAAAACCGCCAAACACGCAAAACACTTCTAACTTGTATGCTTCTCTCCAACAAACTAAACAGCTAAAACTGTGAACATGTTTTTGAGACGTGTGTACCAACATAAAAATCGCTATTCGAACGTAGGTAGCCCGCGAAATTTGAATGTCCATCTTATTTTTTGATATCGATAGTATAGTGAAAATCAAAATATATATTACGTATTCCAAAACCCCGTTCAATGTGAGATTTACACTTTTACTACTTTTCATGTGGAAATCTCACATTGAATTGAGTTTTTTGAATACGTTATAATGGATTTTTATCAAATATTGGTCAGTTTTATCATATATTCAAATATTATTAGTAAGTTTCAGTTATTATTCTCAATTTTTCGTTTCAGGTCATAGATGGACACAAAGTCATCATCAACGAAACGGAATATAAGAAAGAAGATGAATTTGGAGGATCTTTCTTCAAAGTACGTATCATCGACGTCCAACCGGATGAGGAAGGTTTGACAACCGACAAAAATGCTGAAGGAATCCCAACTGGATCAGATGCCCCCCAAGATACGGAATCCGTGGAGAGTAGTATAGAAAATGAAATTCCCAAGGATAAAGAGGACCCTTCCCCTGTTCCTGAGAAACTCAGAACGGCCTAGAGATCACTGGCGTATGGGGTTGTGGAAAAAGGTCTTCATCATTATTGGGAATTACATATTCTTTATTGTGTTAAATTTTAGAGTGAATGTTATATTATTATTCTTATAAAAATAAATAGTTTACATATATGCACTTGTATTGTTTATTCTGTTAGTGTTAACGGAATAAAATTTTCTATGTTTACTTTAAAAAACGTCTATCAAAAGATTTGATGAAAATAATAACACTTTTAATATGGTATGGGTCAAAAGTAACAAGAGGATGAAACCACAGTTCAAAAACAAGGCAGTAAGCATTTATCTGGCATTTTGAAGACCCTTGTTCATCTTGAACAAACAATATTTGAGTTTTATGCCGATCTCAAAAACATCGTCTTTGTGAGATGTCCATGTTCACTTTCATCTAGGGTTTAGGAATAATTCGTGGTTAATCTTGACAACACTGATGACAGCTATCGCTATCATTGTTGTTTTGTTTTTCGGCTCTGGTTAAGAGTTACAGACAAGGATAGAAATCGATTTCCGATTTGGTCGAAGCTTGATTTACAACAGACCGCCCTGGCGATCTTGTTCATCTTGAGTTAGATAAGGACACATTTCCATGCATACTTTTACAAAAGTAACAGCACAGGTCATGTCAGTCATTGCATATACGAGGTTGCGGAAGAAAATTCAATGTATCTGTCTTACAGAACAAATTTGTATGCAGGAAATGGAGAGCCCATTTCGGGAAAAATGAGCCAGTCTCAATGAGTGATATATATTAGACAATGGAAATCCGAACTAGTGAAATTCATCATGAAACATTGTCAATCACCTTCAAACATACCTTCTTGTAAAGTGGTGTGAAAAGCTGTAGGTACGGCTCGTAATCTACAGATCTGTTGTTCGAATGGGGGCAACTTATTCTTTTTGTATATTACTTGTCCATCTAAAAATACACGGTCGATTATCTCTCAAAGTAACCTAGCTAGCGAAAATAATAAGATACAAAAGTTTTAGGGTTTTTCAAAATCTATCACACTAAATAAAAATTGAGTATACAGGATCAGTCAAAAAGTCTTGAAAAAATAAAGTTGCTTTTCCTTTAAGAGAATACCATATATATTATTCCATATTTCAAGTCTGCTCGAAATTCTGAACAAAATTGGAAAAGACATCATTTTCTAATTCAAACCGTTTTCGAGATTTCGAATTTTGAAAATAACTTGTTACCAGTCTCAAATTTATTAAAGAAATAACACGAAATAATGTATATTCATTATGAAAGTCACACAAGGTGGAGTATGTGGATATGATTACAATTTAATTATAATTTTTTGACCAAAAATTGAAAAAGCATAATTGTTCAGGGTTGATGAAAATGCATGAAACAATAAAATGTATTTTTTAATGAATAAACAGGATATTTAGAATTTTATAAAAACAATAGTCATGCCAGGAGAAAAAGAAACGAAACAAGTTTTGATAAACAACAAATATTTACTTTAGATTTACCATCAACCTCCTGACAGTAATGAACTCACTGAACACATTTTGTAGTGAATCTAAAATTATGTGAGGAGGAGTGGTAGAAATTCAATTCCTCATTCTTTCTTGCAACTTCAAGATATCTGGCGGCCTATTTTTGTAGACTACATTTTTTATGTGACCCCATGGAAAAAATTCAAGCGAAGTTATATCGGGAAACATTGCTGGTCATTCAATTGCTCCCCTGCGTCCCCATTCATAGGGAGTAGTTTCATCTCGACATGCCAGTATCACACGTTCATAATGTGGAGGAGCTCCATCTTGTTGAAACCCTATTTACTCATTAATAACTTACTAATAACTGAAATTGCAAAAAACTTATGACAAAAACCAATCATGTTTTNATCCCACGCCCCATTTAATCGTATTGGTCCACCATCGTTATTCATAATATTATTATGCAGACTTGTTACTAAGCTCTCAATATATGCATCTATAGATGCCTGTTGTTAACTTGTCTCACTAATCTTGATGAACCAAAGTCTATGGAAAAGTTTTTTTGCAAACATGATGGGCGACTGCTGATTTTTATGGTCTTCCATATTTCAGGAGTGCTAAGTGTTCAATATTAATATGAAAAGAGCTGTTTCGAGAGGGCTATTCCTTCCAGTTTGTGTCTGAAAGTTACTTCTTTGTGTGATCTACACATCTTTGTATCTGTATCTGTAGAGTAGGAAGGGTTAGTGTATGCCCACAGCACTTAGGCCACATGTGACCCATTGTACATCCTCCTGAGGAGTTGTCCTCCTAGGTCATAGTCCATCCTGTCCTTTCCAGGAAGGTGGAACAGGTCACTTGGAGACATCTCCTTTATATCGGCAGGTGTAAGCCAAGACTCGCCGAACACACACACTCTCTTATTGACGATAACTCCGGGCACTCGCATGGGACATGTCTGTTCACACATCCTGCATAGAGGTGTGTTCACTAGCCCCATATTATGGAGATGTTTCCTTAGTTGACAGTGGCCAGTCAGAAATTCTACTGTTGAGCGTAGATTTTTCCTGGTCATCGCCAGATATTTGTTCGGCGCCAGCTTCCCAGGGTCTCCCAGGGTGATCCTGTCAAGATTGCATCCTTTGATTCCATCCCATTTCTTTAAGGATTAAGCATGGGTGTAACATTTGGCTAGTTCCGCAATTGTCGAAGTCATCAGGCCGTATAGGTGCCAATAAGAATTAATTTTTCGCAAATTTTGACCAAACTACATGTGTTAGTTATGAGTAACAAGTGACTTTTATTCATGTAACTATATTTGAAATCTCAGTGGCGTCGCAGAGGGTTAATTGATTGATATTTATGGTAAAAATCATGGTTCGCCACTGTTTCTGCTAAGTTCAATATTTGAAATAGAGTAGGTGGCGTAGAAATGAGGATTACGCATAATTCAAGTTCAAAAATGTGTTTTGATATTCGTCACAATTTGAACAAACTTGAAATGAAAATCTGTTTGAATAGTAGATGGTTGATTTGTTTGTATTTCATTTGGAGAACAGCATAGATAATAATGAGAAGTAATTGAAACAGATCTAGGTTACTCTGTAAGTCTTGCTGTGGATACAAAATATGTAATTTTGCGTGGCAAGATTTTGAACATGTTACAGAATAACCTAGATCTCTTAAACACGTTTGCTTTTATTATTCGTTCAATCTGACGGAAAATATCAAACTTTGAGAAAAACAGTGACATACAATGATTTTTACTAGTGATATGCCGAGTCGCTGTTTTGATGGATCGAGTTGAGTGGAGTCAGTTTATACATTATTCAAATTATGACTCGATTTCCTGATTCGAGGCCAGTACGTACTCGAATTCTATGTTTGGTATTCGAATATTGACTCGAGTCTTCAAATTCGAGTCAGATATTATTCGTTATCAAATACAATGCACGTGAGTGGGAAACCCCGGTATCATCGATAAGCTATGGAGTTTTAAAAATATCATTTAAATATATTTTATTAACAAAAGTTATTCGTCTTGAACAACAGTCGTTTTCTCAGAAACATACAACCCATCTAAAAATTTACGGATATCCTTATTTTTGACGGTTGTAGACTGTTGGATGAGTGCAGCAGATCGGGATACGTCTTCCAAAGAGTTTCCTTCAATGATTAGTTCATCCTTCTGCTTCTGGGAGTTGGTGACCGTTACACCTGGAGCCATTTTGACTCTGGAAAAGAGAATACCATATTAAGTACAAAAAAATAATGACACTAAACATTTTTCTTCATTTATTGACTGGAAAAAACATTTTACTAACAATATTACTAATATGACAAAAAAAATATACATATTGATGAAACATAAAAAATATATAACACTTTCGATGGGGCTAATCATACACTTAACATTGGGTGTCAACAGTAACATGTTGAAATGAATAAAAATGTATTTAGTGAAAAACATTCCTTGTGCCAAATATACTGGTACCGTGTAATCATAAATATATGTGACATCTGGGGCTCCCTAAGGATCGCATACAAGCAACTGCTTTGGGACAGAAAGATTTTGGCTTTTTACTTCATTTACACAAGAAAATGTGTGAATCTTTAAAGGAAAGGAAGAAAACAATATTGAATTGAACTATTAACAAAGATATGTAGATCATGCAAGATGGAAGAAAGAGTCCTCATATCATATATGAAAGAGGTTAAATTTCACTTAAACGTAACAGTGTTGTCCTCAATGGCGAACATTGATATTTCGGAATAAGACTAGTCTTATTCCCTCTTCAGCACTAATCAGGATAACATTACAAGATAAAGTTCTAAATCCATTCACAAAATTACGATCTTATGTCACGAATGAGTTGAATCTACTCATGTCATCGATGACATAGTATATTTTCAGAGGAGATTAATTTGTAAACGATATACCAGATGTAATACACCACAGCCATCATTCAACGCTCGCAGACGAACTCAAAACTCTATAGGGTAGTTGACAGACGCAGAACTAGAGCTAGACTTGGCAATTCATCTCATTGGTGTGATATGAATAAATGTTATACCAAATAATATGCTCAAGAATTGTGAATCCTAATGAATAATGTTATAAAATTAAAATCATCTTCAGCGATGAGGCCCATTTCTGGATGAATGGGTAAGTAGAAAGATACCGAACCACATGAGATCTATTAGCATCTAATGCATCCCAAAAAATTCATTGTTTGAAGTGGATGTTGGGCTGGCGGTGACATTGGTTCATATTTCTTTGAGAGCCAGGCCATCACTGTCAACGGCGAGCACTATAGGTCAATGATTACAACTTCTTTTGCCCTAAATTGGATGATCTGGACACCAACGATATGTTGTTTTAACAGGACAGTGCTACATGCCACACAGCTCATGCTACATTGTATATTCTGCACTTGCAGGTGTATGTGAATAAGCCACAAACTTTGTCAACATAACCCATGCCATCGGTCAAATTCAACCTGATTTATGCGCCAGAATTATGGAAAATTGGACATTTCAGATGTGCTCCATCTAGAAAAGCTGTGGCGGACATTTGAACGAAGTTATAATGGCATCAATAGGTCTTTCAAAGAAATGAAAAATTTCAATATCCCACACACTTTTTTATTTATATTTAAAGATAGAAAGCGTTTAATGAAAGACCCTATATATATTCTTCTGGAAAAAGGTAAATTTGTGCAGAAAAAAAGAAAACTAAAACAATGTTCATGGTTTTTTGTGTAACAAAGAAATGAATTTCTTTTAAGGGGCCGTCCAATCACGTGATGGTTAGCATTTATCAATCTTCTTCCCCCTGGTGTTAAGCACAAAGAATCTTAAAATTTTTCCTTTCTTATACTCTACGAATAGGTCTTTAAACAGATCACCTAGTTTTAATGAAAAACGTAGGAGTTAACGGTGTATGCATGTATTTGGAGCCGAAATAACCGAATATAACTGATGACTGGCAAGCCAAGCGGTCGTCGTGATGCGCGGCGCGCGGTACTTCGTTCTTTGTCTGGCAACAGCGAGTCAATCACATTACACACCGCTTTTCGGTTAAGGAATCACGTGTTTCACATAAGAATAAATACAAGTGATATCTTACTACACCACCCTCCCCCTTGTGATATTTCGTAATTTTTGCTAAACCTCCTTCTTTTCAGGTCTTACGTGATTACTGGATGGCCCCTAACCTTTAAGAGGCCATAATTTCCAAACATATGGAGTCCGCTCCGTTTTGACTTCAGAATCGTATTTGTCATCTCTTTAAATACAATTTTTTTTTTCAAGTAGAGTGAAGAAATAGGATGAATTATTGACTTTTTAGTAGTCTATTTTTAACCCCCAGAATGCTTTGTTCAGAAGCATTTTGACAGAAAGTTCTTAAGCTTTCCTAAAAATGTCATGAAAATTAGCTACTTCATCATATTCTACACCTTAATGATACCTGTTTCCCCCCCTGATTCTCCAATTACACATTACCACCAGTATGTGTCAAAGTCGAAAGGTATATGTGTTGAATGAAGTTAATTCAAAATTGTCCCCTTTTCACGCTTCCATAAGCTAACTTTAAAACAGGATTAACTGACCAAAAAGTTTAATAACAGAAAGTTAAGGATCACTTACAATCTAAACTCAGGCAAATACTAACCTCCTGATATACTTTTCACCCAAGAAATTCCTGATTTCAATAATGGAATTGTTTTCTGTGGTTACACAATTGATGGGAAAATGAGCATATACGGCCCTCATTTTGTATTGGTAACCTTTCGTTACACCTTTCAACATATTTTCTACGTGGGAACACACTGTCCTGACAGCAGCCAATTCCTTTTTCGTACCGAACCATTTTTCTACTCTCAAGGTTCTGGGGTTAACCATACGAATATCCAAAGCCAAATGTTTGAAAGAGCGTTTCAGGGTGCCTCTAGGTCCTTTTACTGTGATAGTACGGGATTTGGCAGTGACCGTGATCCCCTCAGGGATTTTGACGATTTGGTTTGTTACAATCTGCTTCATTGTGACCTGAAATATAAATGAAACTTGTTCATAATGGGAACATTTTGTTGACTTGGAAAATTCACAACATAACCTTTTTACCAACTAATAGATAGGAAAAATACTACTTGAATATAAAAAACAACATACTAAGTTCTACAAGTTATCTGATATTTATTAAAATAATCAGTTATTATGGAAGATGATTGAAGAAAAGAATATTATTATTTCTCCCAACTTACACTTCACACCACCCGCGAACACGCGACAAAAATGGAAGAAAGCAACTTGTCAAATGTCATAAGTCATAATAATTGTTATTGTCGACGTAATTTGTGTTCTATGAAAATAAAGAAGATACATCCAAAACTGGGCACCAAAGCGCAGAACACCCTAAGTGTTCTGTGACCAAAGTGACGTATAGAGCAACAAATGAACCTTTATTGAAATTCTAATTATTACAACCATAGATATATAAATGTATATACTTACTTGTTGCAACGAAAATATTACTGGGATATCGAAGACCTAGATTAGTTGAATTGAAAGGGTTAAATTTCTAGGAGTGACTAATTTTTTGGGAAAGAAAGGTTTTGGTTTTCTACTACTCCATCTTGATATTGAAAAATGTGGAAATCTTACAAAGATAGATTATGTATTGTGAAATCAAATAGAAGTTAGATTTGGTAAAAACTCCACAAAGAAATTCCGAACGATACCGATATATATCGAGAAAGGTTGATACAATCAAGCTACTGGGAAGTAATTCCATGAAAATCAAAAATAAATGAATGATAAGTACTATTCTGATAATTCCCCTATTGATTTCAATTTGAGAGTCACCGGGCGACAGTTGTTTCAGTCTGATGGGCATCGTTAGTACCGGGCAGGCGGTCTTCGATTGGAGACAAAATGTGAACAACCAAGAAAAGTACTAATGTCTCGATTGCGCTCTCACAGTAATTTTTATCAAGTATTTTCCTTGGTTATTCACATTTCGTCTTCAATCTAGGACCGCCTGCTCGAAACTGATGATGCCCAACAAGCTGAAACAGCTATGTCTACCGGTGGCTCTTGAATTGGAATCAATATGGAAATGATCAGAATAGTACCTGTCCTTTATTTATGTATGTATCTATATATAGAATATATCTATGGGTATCTCACACCCCTGAGTGGTGTTATTTGAGTTCGATCATATCGCTGCACCTGTAGAACAATTAATAAGGAACCTGCATTCTGAAAATACTTGGTGATGGCATTCATTTTGAGAAATATGGATAGAGTAAAATGTTTGTATTTTTTCCGAACATAATCACGAAATATTTGTCAATATTTGTTCATTTTTAAACCTTCAGAATACAATCCTCCACTCAACTATGAATACTATATTTATCGAATGACAATTAGACGGAATCATTCATCAGTGGACATGTATCAATAATTCGACACAATATGTCGATACAAGATAAAGGAAAACATTCTATTGTTGTCATGAAAAAGCATTGTATGTGTTCATGCACAACAATTCTCAAGATCCAAAACCAGGAAAGAAATGAGAAATTATAGTTTGTCGTTGAATCAATCAAATTTATGTTTCTAATGTAGTACACACATCGTCATCTAAAGATGATTTCACTCCAAATACATGAAATACTACGTATGCATTGATAATGAACTAACATACTAGATTCTAGATACCAAGTTGAATATGCTGAAGTCTCAAGAGACTATTTCTATTTTGCTCGAAAGTCTGAACAAAATTGATATAGCACATCATTTCCCAAATTCAACCGTTTTCGAGATATCGAATTTTAAAAATAATTTTTTTTTACCTACTCTCAAATTTACTAAAGAAAAAGCACGAAATGATGGATAGTTATTATGAAAGTCACACATGGCGGAGTATGTGGATATGATAACAATTTAATTATTATTTGTTTACTGAAAATGAAAAATCAGAATTGTTCACGGTTGATAAAAATGCATGAAACGATAAAATGTATTTTTAATGAATATTTTCTTTGGAATTCTATTTAATGAGGTGCTCAAAATGTTTACCATTTACCTCCTGACAGTAATGAAATCGTTGAACTAAATTTTATAGTGAATCTAAAATCATGTGAGGAGGAATAGTGAAAATTTCATGCCTTATTCTTTTTTGAAACTCTTCGATATTTGGCGGCCTATTTTTGTAGACTACATTTTTCATGTGACCCCATAGAAAAGACGAGTGGGGTTATATCGGGAGAACCAACTGGCCATTCGATCGGTTCCCTGCGCCCAAACCACTAATTGGGAAAAGTTTCATCTAGATATGCCCGTACCACACGTCCAAAATGTGGAGGAGCCCCATCTTGTTGAAACCATATTTGCTCTGCCGGCAAAGTGGGATTGTTATTATTCGGGAATGATCGTCTAAGCTCTGGAATAATATGCTGTTGTAAAAGTAATGAACATTGTTCAGAAACCAAATTTCCGTTTATAAAATAGGGTCCTATGACGTGTGTTCACCAATAATGTCACACTAGACATTTACTTTCTGTGGCCGTTGAGTGTAAACTTCCTCCATCCAATGTGGATTTTGGTCTGACCAATACCTACAGTTGTGTCGATTTACGTGCCGGTTTAAACAAAATGTAGATTCGTCAGAAAACAATATGTGGTTGACAAAGTTGACATTTTCATTTAATTTATCCATAATAACTTCACAGAACTCGATTCTACGATCAAAATCGTCTTCACTCAATTCTTGTACCAAATGAATTTTATATGGATGGAATTTTTGCAGTTTGCAAATTTTTTGAATGGAATATCGACTCATGTTATGATTCAAAGTCCTCTTATGCGCCGAATTCATTGGATTTTCCATCACATCTAACATGACATTCAAAGAATTTTCTTCATCTGTTACGACGCTCACTGGTCCTCCACTTTTTGGTTGATCGTTGACATCTCCAGTTTTATGAAAACGCTACAATGATTTTGAAACTGTTGATTTTGAAATGGGTTTTCGATTGGGATGCAGTTCATTAAAAATATCCACTACTTTATCACAACTTCGTCTTCTTTTACCATATGCTATTATCATTAAATTTTAATTACGCTCAGTATCTGTTAAATGTGCCATTTTTGCGCGAAAATTGTTTACACCAAATGTATTTTTGACGTGTGTTGTTAAGATCATCACAGACAAAAAAACGGCACGACGTTGTTATGGAGCTGGAAACTTTCAAAATGAAACTTAATGTTTTTACCACTTTTATGTAACTAACGTTACTGCAGTTTCGTCCTATAAGGACATTTCCAAACTTATACATTGAACTCAGGTTAATAAATATATCCATCAATTTATTGAAGGAAACTTGATGGACTATGAACTACTTAATGGACTAAAACATTTTCAGATAATTCATTGGAAAGTTGTTTCAAAACTCGATATCTCGAAAACGGTTGAAATTAGAAAATGATGTGCTATATCAATTTTGTTCAGAATTTTGATCGAAGAAAAAGCAAATTTATTCCTTCAAGACTTTTTGACTGATCTTGCATACTTAATTCTCATTCAATGTGATACATTTTGAAAAACCCTAAAACTTTTGTATGCTAAATTCGCTAGCTAATCGTACTTTAGGAAATATCGATCGTTTCCATACATATCAGCGACCCTGTATATAGGTAGGTAATAATTTTTTGGTTTTCGTTGGTACTTTTTAGAATCCTACTAAATTAATAACAATTTATCAAAAACTTGTTTTGTCTAATTCTCAATTAACGGCAAAAATAAGAGATATGCCTTCGAAAACGTTTTTTTTTTCCATCGGACGATTATTCTGAACTTTGATAATTAATTTGGAATTAGAACATTAAATAAAGGGATGATGCAATTTGTAACACAGCTAATATTAGTGGAGTTCTATCCCAAAACCAAACCATTATTTTCCACACCTCGACACGTGTTTCAATCAAGTGATCATATTCAAAAGGAAGATTAAACCAAGTCTACAAACAATATTTGCCTTATTTATATGAAAGATACCTCTGCTAGATACCTGCGTCTTAAATATCTTAAAATTAATTTCACAATTTTGCCTTAATATTTACTAGTCAGGTATATCTGATAACTAAATATATTATTTCAACAAGATATATAGTAAACTATCATAGGTATTGTCTAAATCCTTAGACAATCGTATTGGTCCACCATCGTTATTCATAATATTATTATGCAGACTTGTTACTAAGCTCTCAATATATGCATCTATAGATGCCTGTTGTTAACTTGTCTCACTAATCTTGATGAACCAAAGTCTATGGAAAAGTTTTGTTGCAAACATGATGGGCGACTGCTGATTTTTATGGTCTTCCATATTTCAGGAGTGCTAAGTGTTCAATATTAATATGAAAAGAGTTGTTTCGAGAGGACTATTCCTTCCAGTTTGTGTCTGAAAGTTACTTCTTTGTGTGATCTACACATCTTTGTATCTGTAGAGTAGGGAGGGTGAGTGTAAGCCCACAGCACTTAGGCCACATGTGACCCATTGTACATCCTCCCGAGGAGTTGTCCTTCTAGGTCATCGTCCATCCTGTCTTTTCCAGGAAGGTGGAACAGGTCACTTGGAGACATCTCCTTTATATCGGCCGGTGTAGGCCAAGACGCTCCGAACACACACACTCTCTTATTGACGATAACTCCGGGCACTCGCATAGGACATGTCTGTTCACACATCCTGCATAGAGGTGTGTTCACTAGCTCCATATTATGGAGATGTTTCGAGTCAAACCGTACTCGACACATCGCTAATTTTCACCATGAATATCAATCAGGTAACTCTAATGCCACTGGAATGATGATCCATATTATAATTTCATGAAAAGAAACCCCTTGTTACCGATAATAAATGCCTAGTTTCCTACTTGTTCCCTACAATTGAAGCAAGCGATTTTCGCCCAATTAATCTCTACCAACTTTGGAGAAGTCCTTGAACTAGCAGTTTACGAACAATAATTAGTTGCATACTTGGATGATAATGAATCATTCTTAGGTAAACAGTCAGGATTCAGAAAAAATCATTCCTGTGAATCAGCTATTCAGTATACTTTCTCTAGATGGAAAAATGCGTATGATGAAAAATAGAGAATAGAGGAATAGAAACTCGGAGAGGGAAATATAGGTATCACACAGCTGCACGCATTAAACTTTATCAAGGAATTTTTGTTGTCGGTTTGCGGAAATCGTCAGATTATATATTTTTCGTTATCCTTGAATTATTTCCTTCAAAACAAAAAAAAATAGCTACTCTCGAGAATGTCGAATTGATGTAATTTTTTT